CATTAGAGAGTGACCCTGAGTGACTTTCACTGGCCTCACCCAAAAAGTGTCGCAAATATTACACACCATTTTTGTCGAAGCGTTCGTCTAATACAAAAATCTTTTCCAGGTTGACAATGAAGCCTCGCAAATTCGAAGAGAAATAATCCTTTCTGTTGCTATTGATTGGGAAAATAAAAAACAGAGAAAAAGTAGGAATAAACGATGGCCCACTCCAGAAAGAAAGAGGAAGGGACAGGTTTGCTTCAAGCTTCAGTGAGGGATGTTTTGTTTCGACACATTCGGTAATGTAGTAACAATATCGAATATTGAACGGGCGGGTGTATGCGTTTGGAGCGATCCCTCCCATCGTGAACGAATTATCCAGCTTGAAAACCGCGTCGAATGGGCGGCGCGATGGGAAGGATCGCGCCTAACGATCGCCTCCCTAAACGGGTGTAATGATTACAGTAAGGTGTGGGACATCCATTTAAGCAGATAATGAAAGAATAAATGGAAAGAGCTTAGTTCGCACAGTTCTGGAACTCTGTCATTATCTACCACATGTAGCGTGTTGAGTGTGTCTGTGGGTTTTTCTGTGTGTGTCTGTGTGTTAGTGCGTGTGTGTTGTGTGCGTGTGCGTGTATTTGTGTGTGTATCTGACTGGGAATTCATAACTCCTGTTCCCGTTGACTTATTGTTAGAGCCTTCGAATTTGGTGTCAGTATTAGCGGCAGAGTGAGAGCACCTTCTGTGGGAGGTTCACAGGAAGCGGAGTTGTGTGAAAAGTTCAATTTTGAATCTGGAGCGTTCAACTTTGGTAGGAGTGTACGCGGCAGGACGGGATCTTTTGCTGTGGGTGGCCNGCACGGACTCCGCCCTACAGGGTGCGGGCATGTGCAATACATAGTTGTTAGTTTAGACGTGCGAGATTTCAAAACCAAGGTTGAATATGTTGGGAATGAACGAGTTAGTTAAACACACAGGTCTCATGCAGGTCTGCTCATGGTGGGCGGTGCGCGCATGAAGTATTCATGTCTTTGGTCGGAAATAAATTGCTGCTGTTCTTCTTCACCGAAGCCTCCAAATAGGAAAGGGGTGCGGGGAGGGAGCCAATTTTAACATGAAAAGAAGAAGAGCCCGGTGTAGCCGAACGATCCGACTGGTATAGAAGAAGATCAACCAAACTTGCATGTTTCTGCATTTTTCCCTCCAACCACTTTTCGTATGCGACGAATGTGCATATAAGGCTGCTTGCTTCATCAGCAGTTTGCACCCATTTGGCACGATATTAATGCGTCGGATGATTCGTTATCACAAAAACTCTCGACTAGACACTTCCCCGAAAACGAATGAGGACATGCAGCGAATCAAATAATGTTGAGGTCACTGCACACTAGATGAGAACCAACCTGCTTCCAGCGAAGGAATCCCATTGATTCGCGTCCATCTGTTTACCTTCGAATGTTGAGAAAATAAATTATCTTTTCTGTTTATTGGCGAAACAACATCCGTTACGCACAGTCTCGAAAGTTCGAATCCGGCGAGGAAGTAGGCCACTAGTAACTCTTGATGAGCCACATCTGCACCTTTTTGCCTCATGCGCCACGGTTACCTTATACGTAGGCTGCCTTTTATATTTCGGGATTTGAGAACAGGAACAAATACTATTTATTGAAAATCGCTTGACTGCCGTTCAAAATTCTCCACATTAAGATCTATACACTTTTGTATGGGCTCGAACCAATTTTCGAAGCACTTTTGCCACTCTGATGTAGGTGACTCTAAAACATGGATTCTGAACTCCAACGGCTTCTTCGGGTGTCGAAAAAGTTGTCCTCTCATTTTATTTCTTACGTACGGGATGAGAAGAAGTCACCCGGGGACTACATGGCTGATGACCTGTCAAATCGTTGTTTCGAGTGCTCAAAAATGCGGTTGTTTGAGCCGATGTGTTGGAGCTCGCATTGACGTGGCGTGGGATCCAACGCCAACAAATTTTTTACAGTCAAATGTTCATGCAAAAATGAATGTAAGCTAGTCCCACTGATGCTTGAGGTTGCCTCAATCTCACGATAAGTTACATGACGATCTCGCAGTATTAGTTTGTGCACAGCATGAACTGTTTCCGGAACGACAACTGATTTTGGACGACCTCCACGAAATTCGTCTTCGAGTGAACTACGACCTCGGGTGAACCCACTGTACCATCGATAAGCACTGGTTCTGGATAGAGCTTCATCCCCAAAAATTGAACCGAGTTAATCCATGCATTGCTGTTGAGTTAGTCCACGTCGAAAGTTGTAGAAAATAATCGCGCGAAAATGCTCACGGTTCAACTCCATAAGTTGGCCTAATCAAAATCTTATAACTTAGTGTAAACAAAACAAATCGCGCTCAAATTTCGCAATGTAACCTCAAAATAGTCAAACTTTACGATAGTGGTGTCAGTTGCTAGATTGCTACACTAGTGTTTCCAAATCCCGAAATATAAAAGGCATCCCTCGTAGTAGTCTGTCCGAGGTTAGTAAATTATCTCATATATATATATATATATATATATAGCGCTAATTTTGTGTTTCTGTTTTTATGCCCGTTTGTGGGTCCTTCCAAAGGTCACGTAGGCACGATGTGGATTCACGTGAAATGTCATGTAAGCTTGGCTAAGAAGAAAATAAAATAGGAACCCAATCGTTACTGTTTATATCGACCCAATAATCAACATCCTGTCAATTTGAGACGTCACGACTAAAAATCACAACTCACCTCCCACGACGCAGACTAATCAAACCCTTGGGAACTAGAGAAGGTCAGGATCAAAACAATTCCACGATCACTTATTAGTGTCAAGGGATCAATATCCACAAAGCGGCATCAGATCGTTCAAATTGGGAAATATCACCTCATTCTTATATAACAAACGTCGTTTTGGCTATTTACCGTCGTGCTACATCCCTATAGTATGGACGGTTCATCTATAGTTCACAGCCAACTGAGGAAAGAAAGAGGTTGAGCTTCGTGGGCAAAGAGACTTTTTGCTCACGAAGAAATTTTACCGAAAATACCTTCAGCATTAAACCTATTTTCCAGACTAGACGCGTAATTTTCCATAGAAACATAATCGGAAATCTATAGAAATCTAAATTTTCACAAATTTAAATTTTAAATTTTCAAAGTNCTCCAAAGAACTATCCACTTCATAATACTTCAGTAACTAGATGATATTTTCCAAATTTGGAACTTGGGCGAAATCTATACCAGAGCTCATCATATGTGAAGCGCTTGAGTCTAATTGTTTGTTTGTACGTTCAATTGTATGGAAATTCGATATTACCTTAGGAAGCACCTGCACGAGTAGGGTCAAGTTTGGGATGGGTTGGACATAGGGCAAGATCAAAGGAACCAGTCTGAGCTCAGCAAAGCTATTCCCTCAAGGAAGGGACATGCACAAGATTGGGTGATGTCATAGGCAAAACTTCCTTACTTTGTATAGAGCTGTCTGTCCGTCCGTCTGTCTGTTTGTACGGAAATTCATAATTCCTGTTCCCACGGACCAAGGAATTTCAAATTTATTAGAGAAAGTAACCGAGGCAGGGTGGGAACAGATGTGGTGGGTGGCAGGACCGGACTCCGCCCAAAGTATGCGGGTTTGCGCGAAATAAATAGTTGAGCAGAAAATAATAACTCTTATTTCAGTAGACCTAGAAAGTTTAAATCTGGTAAGAGTACCCGATACAGGGTGGGAACACTAATGTTGGGTGGCAGGAACAGGCCACATGGGTCGGGGTTCGCGCCAAAATTGTCAATTCGGCTCTAGGGCGTTCAAACTTGACAGGAGTCGGCAGGATGGGAACACTTGTGGTAGGTGGGAGGACCGGACCAAAAGGCGGGGTTTGTACGAAATGAATGTATAAGCGAAAATCCATAACTCCTGATCCCGTAGACTTGGAGAGCAAAACCAATAGGAGTAGAGTGGGCAGGATGAGAACACTGACGATAGAGGAGGCTTTAGTGAACAAGATCCAATTACCAATTGAATCCTAGCGACTTTGCTATTCGCGATCTAGCTTTGACTCTTTGATAGGTTTCATTCGACAAGAAGGGTAAGTGCACTGATAGGGACCGATTCACTTCTTGCTTACGACCGCTACCCCGCAAAGTTTGCAATTCAGTGAAAGATCACGTTTTCTCTCTGCTTTGATATCATTCATGGCAAAACTTATCCGACCGCTAACAATCTTGGATTCTCATTCAATGATGTACCCGTAGAGAAAAGGAGCAACATTCATAAAGACATTTGATAATGGTACTACTATGACTCGACAACATTTGTGAGTACCATTCAAGGCTTGGAATGCCTACCAATGAAATTTCCACAGGGTCATTATTTTCCGTCAACAGCGACAGATCGAGTCAGACAGATCCTAACAAGTAAATAAAAGGCCTAGGCATCGGCGAATTTCGAATATCGTTTGCATGCCCTATTATTCCGCTATCGAACTTCGTGTTCCGAAAAGTACTGTTCGTTTCAAAGGAGGGGTGTGCTGTTTGCAGTTTATCACAACTCTATCATAGGGAGGGAAGCCCGGCGTTAGCCGGGCGGTCCGAATGTCTCTATATATGAGGCGGTAATTTTGTGTGTCTGTTTGTATGCCCGTTTGTGCGTCCTTCCGAAAGTCACGTAGGCGAAGAGTGTGAATGTCACGATGAGGAAACAGTTATGGAATGGGAAGTCAAACAATACTGCTCATATTGGTCCTCTAGCAGGTAGGTAAGCGGTAGTGCGCCTGTAGTGCACGCATGAGCGTGCGTAGCCCAACTGTTTGGAAATAAATAGATGTTGCACAAGAACACTAAGACAGGAGGCAAGGGGTACATACATGGAACAGATTACAATTGTTCCAGTTGTGTTTGTCTTCCCCGCCGCCATAGAGTTATGAATAGTTTCCAAATTTCTTGTACGATTGCCCTTGTGAATGGAAAGCCTCTACAACGCCTAGTTTGAAGCTATAGTATCGACTATGGGTGAGACAGATGGCCGATGCGATCTTTTAGTCCTTACATCATCTATCCAAGCCGTTTTCCGATCTGGCAGAACAACATATGGTATACATTATAGGAGGGCATCTCAGAGACCATTTTCATTGTTAACTGTACCTTTGAGTTGCCCTTGGAGAGCATTTTCCTAAACATGTTCCGTTTTCAGTTGAAGAACGTAGTTGTCAGGAGAAAGAATAACAAGTACCTCGTAGAAACGAACCGCCTTTTTGACAATCTTCAGGACTTGATGTCCCATTACCAGAAGCACTATGGAGTACTCAAGAGGGTACTGTAACTTATCTTCAAAACGCTATAACGAATACGTCTTCAACTCATTGACGATCGCGTGGCCCGCCGGCGAGCCACACCATATCGTGCTCCTGTAGTATTTATATTATTTACCAAGCATTCCTATAATTTTTTCATGTTTTCAAGTATCAGCTGAGCTCACAGCCTTTAGAGAAACTTGAGGCATTGTGGTTCAGTGATCCTTCATTTTCAACTACAGTTATAAGAGAAATTAAAAACTAATGTAATGACAGTATTCAAGGCGCGATCGCCAATGGGTTAATATAGCTCGTTATAGGGAAATGTATTTCTTATTAGTAAAATTGATTTCCTTTTCAGTTTAAGTTCACTTTAACAAATCCAATCAAACAGCAACCATGGGAGTTTCATCATAGCGATGTGAAACAAGGTAATCTACTGGGACGAGGAGCGTTTGGTGAAGTTCGAGCAGGAACGCTGCAACTGAAGACTGGAAGAAATGTCGATGTGGCCATAAAAGTTGTAAGTCGTGGAATTCGGAGGGTGATGTTCCCACTATGTACAGTCTGTCTTTGCTGCTATCCTGGAAGCAACAAGTCCTTACCCACTCCAGACAAGAGGATCGTCGGATCTATGTAAGGCGAAAATCAAGGAGATGATGAGGGAAGCTCGCCTCATGCGGAACTTCCATCACGAGAATATTGTGCGCATCTATGGTGTTGCAGTGGACGAACAACCTCTTTATATCATTCTCGAATTAATGACTGGTATGAAAAAAGATTTGCAAAGTTAACCAATTTTTTGTTACTGACATTGTGTTTGTCGTGATTTCATAGCATAAGCTATAACATTACGAAACTTTTCACAGTATAGCAGGTGTGATGAAACTCGGAACACCCGCGGTACTAAACAAAGATGATGAAGGCTACATTGGAGAATTCATAAATGGCATTACATCACAGAAAATCTTCTAGATCATAAGGCATCTTTTAGCTGAGTAGTTTACCCGGGCAGGAATTATTCTAGAGCTCCGATGCTCAACAGATGACCTCGCACGCCCCGACGAACCGGCAGATAACGAAGCTCGCCACGAGAAAAGCCGAATTCTAGTTCTGCACTGAGAGGCATTATGTGGCTGTTTGACAAAAATTAATTATACTCATGATGCTCGATGCTGTAAAGTTGTAATTGAGCATCAATAGAGACCAACGGTGGATTCTGTTTGTCGTGTGGTATGAATGTCTTTCATATTTCTGTAGCTCGTTAGAGGCGATTCGATATCCATCAGGAGCTCGGAACGGTGTTCATGTAGATAAGGGGTTAGTCCCTTCCGGCGCCTGTCAAAATACTCAGCTGCATGCTGCAGCCATGCTCAACTTCCGGCATTGCTTGTTTTCCCGTTCCAGCTGAGGAGCAATTGCATGCAACTCTCCCGCCATCGGAACCAGCGGTTCCGACGTCTATCTGTTCAGAGATGTTGTAACAGTACGGCTGACGACTCGTCGGTGCGATCGGATTTGAAGCCCCTTCTGACACCATATGTGCCGATAGTAGGTTGAGAAACCTTCTAAATAGGGCACAATAAGGGGCTAGACATTGTATAGTGTGAATGCCACACCCACAGCGGACGAGTCACAACGGTGTCGTAGAGGCCGCACTATCTCAAGAGAATCCCATGTTGGTATTCCAACAGCATGTCATGACCCATTGCGACAGAAGTCAGTTTTAGACAATTTTGACTTGATACAGCCAGCTCTTTACGGAATTGTAACAATGAAATCTCGTCCGATTACCCACTCCATGCCATTTCCGCCATGGTAATCTTGTACTACCTCTATTTCCAATACTTTTGAGAAACCTATTTTCTCGCGAAGTGAGCGGATTCTTTCGCTATATTTAGCCACCGATGCACTACTCTAAATGGGTACCCCGAAATTATCATAAACTAATCCTTTCAGGGGAAAAGAATTATTTCGTTGTAGCGTGATTTTCCCTTTTATGCAGACTGATCTTATAAGAATAACTGATTATCGGCTTCAGGTGGTGCCTTGAACCATTTTCTCAAAGCCAACGCTGGCAAGGTTAGCGTTTTGGATAAAATAGCCATGTGTCTTGGAGTGGCACGAGGAGCTGAGTACTTGCATCATAAACGCTGTATGCATAGAGATCTGGCTGCAAGAAATTGCTTGATCACTCGAGACAAAATAGTAAGTAGGAACAGTTCTCGAAATTTTAACAGGTTTAGGATTTTACTGCCTCACGTTCATTTCCATGGTTGGTTCGCCATGGAGATACAATTAAGGTCCTCTGATGAAAAATGTGGTCAATGAGAGACCCTTCTAAGGTTAAACGACACCAAATGAACATAAAATAATGTTGGGGAGAATACTGTCTTCCATATTGAAGCGGAATCAGAGCTGACATTAATCAGAACGGCAAATTCTCTCTACTCGAGCTTTGCTAGGCTCTTTCAGAGAACGGTGACAACTTTTCAAGCTGACATTTGCAAAATGCTAGGAAGAATAAATTTTTGTCTTTTTCCCAACAGTCTCGAGTTCCTCCGCAATTTTATAAGACTGTCCTGTCGAAAATCTCTTCCTGCTTCTCTGATAACATGTCAACTCTTTTCCGCCACGCATTTGAGTTGAATTTGAAGTTGCAGAGTTTCGTACAATCAAAAAAACATGCCTATGTTGTGACAGTCGATTCGGTACAATTTACTATTATATATGTGGGGTAGAGTTGTTTTGAAGCACGATGGTTTGGCATGAGCTGTGTGTGTCTGCTTACTCTTGAGATACCACGCTTCATGGTGGAACACTAAAAGAACAGCTTCGTAGGTTTATGAAGCACGGTAGTAAAAACCGTGCTGCGGTCAGAAATGCTAGGATCCGGCCAGAAAGAGCCATCTTTCACTTTGTGTTCACCCTTTATCTTCCCCCTGAAAGCGTTCAAAGTGCCTGAACACAGGCACTGATATCTACAGACATTGGTCGGTTGAGCATGCTCCTTCCCTAATACCCTTAAGCCTTTTTAACGAAGGCTTTTGCTCGGTCTCCTGAAAATGTTTATCTCAGAGGTGGTCTATTACTTCTTATAACCACGCTCAGTTTTTCAATGAGATTTCTTCCGTTTCAGGTTAAAATTAGTGATTTTGGATTATCTCGAATGGGAACAAGTTATGTACTTCATACATCAGTGAGGCTCCCTACCAAGTGGCTGGCCCCAGAAACAATCACCACTCTTTCATTTTCTCTGAAAACGGACGTGTTCAGTTTTGGTGTTGTTGTCTATGAAATCTTCTCTGATGGCGGTGAACCATGGGGAGGCAAGACCAATGCTGAAGTAAAAGCCCTTGTACGTAGTGGATATTCTGACTAACAAATAGAACTTCGAACTATCAATCTCACTCTCAGGTCTCCAATGGCCAATTTCTGACTCTGCCGGACTGCGTTCCTGAAGCAATTCGAAACTTTGTCCAGGAACGAGTTTTTGTGAGGGATCCTGCGGAAAGAGCGAGTATGACTAAGGTATGTAATATGTAGGTAATATGCTGTGTATTACACAGACATAATCATGAAGTCAATAGCCTTGTTAAGGTGGTGGAGGCATTCGAGCAAATACAGGCGGCGGAGGGCTTCTTACCAATGGCAGAATGGTGGTGGCGACTACGTAAAAAGGATCAAAAGTTGGTGCAAAATGCAGCGTAATTAGCCACACTAGGCAAAATTTATTTGGCAAACAAATTTCCAACACGGCCATAGAACTTTCCGGGAAATCATCTTAGATCATTGCATCTAGGTTTCATAGACAAGTAGCACAGAGGGTTCCCAGTCTATTCTAAGGTTTCTTACTTCTTGGAATGAGACAGTACAGCAGTAATTGAATAGCAGATGCAGAAAGCTCTGGAATGATATCGGATTAAACTGACCCTTCCGTGAAATCTACTCCTGCGACAGTGCAAAGACCCCAGATCCCTAAATAGCTGATGCTCGAATAGTCCCCTCGATGAGAGACCGACACACCGACGCACCACATTGACACACTGACGAACCGACACACAGACGTATTAACAAACTGATACACCCAGCGACACACATAGCACACATGTGTGTGCTCTGTAAAGTTGCTTTTTAACAATAACGGGCTGGGTAGCTCGGATTGAAATATTCCCCTAGTTAGCCAAGTGCTCTTGTTTCCCTCCCAAACAGATGAGAGATACGGCGGAAAAACTTCTCTCTCCAACGACTGGGTAGGAGTGACTTCGTTGTTCTACAATGTTTGCTGCCCGGAAATGTAGGATAAGGTTATATTCCCTTCATCTGCTCATCAAACAATATTACACAGCTGGTGAACGTAGTAGTTTTCATGTGTCTTATGGTTAGACTCGGATATGAAAAAAAGATTGGACTGAAACACATATCGCGAGATTTTTTTGTCATATAATCTGCGGCCACGCCCTTTTGGTATTCCCTGGTTTTTTTGTCTTGGATTATATGTATTCGCCTCATTACCTGAATGTAGTCATTGCATGAAACTTCGAACTAATCGAATGCCGATTTTTTTCACAAGGGAATTTCAGGAAGAAAAGGGGAACCATTTTGAAGAGCGTGGTCAGTCCACTGACATTGAGACTCCCTGCAAGATAGCTGCATCGAATTGGAAAAGTTGTGATACTAAGTTATCTAGGTTAAATCGATATCATCTTAAATAAAACTTATGAAGCTCATATTCCTGCAGAATTGCTATGTGTAGCAAAATGAAAGAAACCTTACCGTTCCACCAGGTTTTCGACTCATGTTTTTCGCTGAATTAAATGCAGAAAACGACACATCCAACAAGCAAAGGCATTCGGCTTTTCATACTGCTTTGCCTACAAGTTTTAAGGAACAGGAAGCATAGCACTCTTTTTGTCACACCTTTCATCTCATTTTTTGGAGTTGTTCAACGAACGAAAAATTCACCAAAGTAATGTACTCCTTCGAAAAAACACCTTTACAACTACAAAATTAAAAGATTTGCTAGGAACACGCTGTATGTAGTTTCATTTAGGCCTGATGTAATGTTTTGAGAAGAAGAATTGAAAGAAAGGGGAAATTTAGATGAATAAAACAAAAATACAACTGCAGTCCACATGTGGACTGCATGGTCGTTAGTGGGTTAACAGAGCTGAGAACTCCGGATTCCCTCCTGCACTCGTGTGTAAGGCAAATTCACAGTGTTAAGCTTTGCAAAGCGCGTTGAGTGACGCTAACAGCATGTTCATCCTGCCTTCGTAGAGTCTAACAATAAGTCTCCAATGGTTACTTCAAAGCAGGAAGGCCAGCAGTGTCGAAAAGGTTAAGGAGAGCCGAATGTTCTTCGCCTTCTTTACTACTCCCTCGGTATTCGTGAGTGCTCGCAACGCCGTGCGTTTCCTTCTGCTCAGCTTCAGAGCTAGGTTGTTCAACATGTTACTTCTCGAACTAGATACACGTAGCTAGAGCATTCGGGGATAATCGTTCTGTTAGCGTAAAGGGAGCATCCGTGTAATCTTTCTCTCATGAACATCGCCTTCGTTGAGTTCAGTCTTGAGTCGATCTTTCCACAGGCGCTGTCGAATTCGGCCAGCCTTCATTACTGCTCACTGATCACTATTGCTAACAAGGGAAGGATACTCGGTCGCAATGACCATTCGAGATAAGATGTAGAAGGCCGTTAGGTCTTTTCGGACGCTGTTCTCACACCTGCGTTCCAAATGTGCGAAACGATTCTGGGAACAAAAATTCGGAGCCTTCTTCCTTCTGCGTTGGACCTATGTTTAACATATAAACTAACCGCGCATCATGATGAATTGTGCAACGAAGATATAGTTGGTAGTGCGAGGGACTCATAAACATGAAATAAACATTTGGGTATTTTACTATGTGCTTGATTTGCTTTCTCACCTTACTCCAAAGATGGTGCTACGGAATGTTGAGTTATTTGACAAAAGCCCTTTTTGAAAAAAATTGCCCCCAGCTCCGAAGAGGACTGTCTCCATTTTCGAAGCAGGAAGTTTCGAAGCAGTACAAGTGAACTGATGGCTTTGAAATTATACTGTACAAACAATAGAAGATTAGTTTAAGTACACACTTTGATCCCAGAATTGTCGCAAAGCCCTTACTGGGGTAAACAAGGTGGAACTCAATACCTGACCAGAACCCTGCCCGCATAAACTTTGCTTTGAATTGTCCTTTAGGAACCATCATTGTTGAATTTCGTCGTCAATCAGTAGGAATCGCTGTCGTACAATAAGATTCCTATATTTTTTTCAGAATAATTTCTTCTCTCACCCTTTTTACTGATCTCCGGAGGCCGACAGATCGTTCTGCCCGTTTTGATTGATAGCCGCAACTACGTAAGACACAATATATCGAAAATAAGCTCGAAGATCACAGCTTTTTTCAATACCCCTTAACCTCGCGCCTTATGACCTCAACTAGATGGTAATTCGGTTGTTATGAAACGGAACTCGATTTTCATGCAAAAGGCAGAGCGGCTCTTTCTGACACTTGTACGACGGAAGGTATGAACTTCTCTACCTGCACTACAAACTGAAACCCATAGGTTCAATCACGAATCCAGGCTCTCCCACATTGGAATTCTGAATCTCCAGAAAGGTATGTATTTTCCTCTCGCGATTCGATGGGCTATCATTACTACCACGTGAGCAGAGAGAACTACTGTGATTGCCTTCCACCGAATCATCTTGCTTGCAGTAGACAATGATGTTGTCGGGCATACCATCGAAAGATATGGACGAACAGCTCTTTATTGTCTTCCGTTCCTTTCTGATTCTTCTTATCCTACTTTATATAATTCGCTAATCTGTGTGTTTGTGTGTCTGTGTGTGTCGGTGTGTGAAATTCATAACTCCTGTTTTTTCATAGCCCCCGTGTACCTAATGTTCAAACTTGGTAGATTGATGGGGACGGATGGGAACTTACGGTGGGTGGTAGGAACGGACTCCGTTCACAGGGGGCGAGGCGTGCGCGATAGAAATTTTAGGTTGCAAACTCATAACTCCTTTTCGCGTGGACCTAGAGCGTCTAAATTTGGCAGGATTACTGGGACAGGATGGGAACATGTATGGTGGGTGGCAGGACCAGACTCTGCCCACAAGGGGCGGGGTTTTGCGCCGAAATTATCAATTTGGCCCTAGGGCGTTCAAACTTGGCAGGAGTACAGGCGGCAGGATGGGACACTTATAGTGGGTAGTAGGGCCGGACTCCGCTTACAGGGGGTTTCGCGAAGTAAATGTCCGAGCGAAAATCCATGACTCCTGATCCCGTTGACTTGGAGCGCAAAATCATTAGGAGTAGAGGAGGCAGAATGGAAACACTGACGGAGAAGAGGCTTCAGAGATCAAGATTCACTCACGAATTAAATTCTAGCGCCTTCATTATTTACGACCTAGCTTTGACTCATTCGAAAATAAGGGAAGTGCAGTGATAGGGACCGATTATGAGGAGATGATCAACACATTTTGAGTATCATTTGCTTCCCTGTTGCTCCTCTATCGAATTTCGTGTTCCGAAATGTATCATTTGTTTCGAAGAAGGAGCGAGCCGTCTGCCGATTATCACTATAGTTGTGGTAATCGGCAGACAGCTCCCTCCTTCTTTGAAACAAATGATATAAGGCCGGCGTCAGCCGGGCGACCCGACTGGTATCGCAGTAGCCAAATTTTTCTAACATTGTGATAATACCACCTCAAGACAGAACAATTCGCTGGTAATATGTTGAGGAGCGTTTTGATCCAATGGATGAGGTATTACCTTTTTCCCTGAAGTTCCTGAAGTCCATTTTAAGCAATACTTTGAATTCCCTCTTTGCTTGAGCTGCACATTTGCTCGTCCGGTGAAGCGCGAGAACAACTCGCTTTAATTTAGTTCTCCAGTAATCGCAAAATGTCAGGGAGTGTCGTACAATACTGCTACTAACTCATGGTCAACCGACGATTTGCGACGGATTAATCCGGCGCTTCGCCATAACTTCAGCTAAGGTATTCCAATTAAGCTGATAGTAAGTTCATCGGAAAGCTCTCCTCGTGAATAATCCAAAAATATAACAATCTTCCAACTTTCTCAACTTTTTCGCCCTGCTTTCCGGGAAAAACGAAAATTGAGTCTCCTAGCACCTGGGGTGTTACTTGCGGATATGACAACATCGTAAACCCCCCACTTCAATTGAAAACTTCGTTCCCAGTTCTAAAAGGCCTGAATCGTGCTGTAATTGAGGAGAGCATAGGATCCTGATCATTTTGATACCCTTCATGGCATAATTTAGCACTTTCGGCTGAAAACAGTGGTGCAAAGCAAATTACAAGGTTTTCAGACGTTCGTTATTTCTTTCAGCCACGTATTTCGTATGACGACCGTATGATTGCTTGTGGGGAATCCTGTTATGTCATGAATTCTTAGATTCTTCAATTTTGCAGCATCATTTTCATGGAGGTCAAAGAGTTAGTTTCCGGCACCTGAGGT